GCCGATCCGGCGTGTGAGTTTCAAGGAGTCTCAGCTACAGCCTCGAGGCTGAGCCTCAGCCTCTGGGGGGGTTGCCGGGGTGGCTCTGCCGGGGAAGGGGGGATGGGGGGGGGGGGGGCGAGTTTCCGGCGGATGCGGGGGGGCTGCTTTTACAGAAGGCTCTAATCTCGAGGATGCGCTACAAGGGTGGCCGCGGCCGCAAAAGTCTCTTAGGACGGTCTACGAAAGTCCCGAGACCCCGAAAGATCGCCCGAACACGCCCAAGATGGCCCCAAGACGGCCCAAGAGCCTTCCAAGACGTCTGAAGAGGCCTCCAAGAGGCCTCCCACGAGGGCCCCCAGAGGCAAACATCGTTGATTTCCATTGTTTTTTTTCATGTTTTTGGGCGTTGTCGCTTTTTTCGCTTTCCGACGCTCCAAGACGGCCCAAGAGGCCCCCAAGACCGCTCGAAGACGGCCCAGGAAGCCCCCAGACAGTCCCTATAGATATATATATATATTGTATACATATTTATAACATATATATATATATATATAGATGGTGCGGGCTCTGGTTGGGGCACTTCGATTGAAAAATGCAATGGGCCCCGGGCAGGGGGATCAACAAGAAGTGTTCTGACTTCTGAATTCTCACCGCGGAAACCGACTTCACGCACGAACGCAGGGATGGTGTAAGAGCGCTCCGGCCCCTCACTCTATCCCTCGACCTCACTACGGTCAAGGTCCGATATATAGCGTGTCTGTTGTTTCGGGCCTTGCGAAAGCGAAGGCGTTTACACGCTAAGCAGCGCAGGGGCGCACACGCGAAGTAGGGTCGGGTGGAAGAGCCAAACGACATACACGCTAAGCGCTCCGAGACGCTAAGCGCTCCAAGACGCTAAGCGCTCATATACACGCTAAGCGCTCCAGCCCGAGGTGATCTACGTAGGGGGTTTTCTCTTCCAACCCTCTTCTTCCCTTTCGGTGAGGGGTTTACGCACGCACCCCTCCCCCTACGTACGTACCCCCCATCCCCCTGGACCTGGACGGGGAGATTTGCGACCGAGTGGAGATGGCCCAAAACGGCTCCAAGAGGGTCCTGGAGAGCCCTGGAGAGCCCAAGATGGCCTCCAAGACGGCCGGAAGTTATTAATCCAAGATGGCTCAAGATGGCTTCCAAGATGCTCCAGACCGCTCCAAGACGATTCCAGGTGGGCTTGGGGCCTCCCTTGGACGCGCCCAAGACGCCCAAATCCCTCAAACACCTGGTAAGGTAAATCAATGATTCTACGTAGCCCTTTCGACTTTTCGCGTCCGATGACCTTCCGAAGCCGCACGTACTTAAGATGGCCCCAGGGGGCCCAAGAGAGCCCCAAGAGGGGTCCAAGATGGCCCCAAGATGGACCCGAGAGCGTCCAAGAGCGCCCCAAGAGCGCCCCAACAGGACCCCAAGAGGCGATTTTGAGAGCTCCAGAGGGGCGAGGGTACTTGCGGACCCCCCCATTCTTTGATAGATATCCTCCAAGATGGTCCCAAGAGGGCCTCCAAGGCCCCCAAGAAAGCCCCAACAGGCGGCCAAGAAACCCCAAGAGGCCTCCAAGAGACCCCCAAGAGGACCCCAAGCGGCCCCAAGAGACCCCCCGAGGCACCCAAGATGCCCCAAGAGCCCCCCGGGACCACCAAGAGACTCCCAACACGTCCCAAAAGGCCTCCAAGAAACGCCCAAGAGATACGTACGTATCCCAAGAGACTCCGAGACTCCGAGGAAGAGGAGGAGGGGGAGAGAGAAGTGTGAAAAACGGGGGAAGCGCTCCAGCCCGAGGTGATCAACGTAGGGGGCTTTCTCTTCCAACCCTCTTCTTCCCTTTCGGTGAGGGGTTTGCGCACGCACCCCTCCCCCTACGTACGTACCCCCATCCTCCTTGGCCCTGGACGGGGAGATTTTCGACCGAGTGGAGATGGCCCAAAACGGCTCCAAGAGGGTCCTGGAGAGCCCTGGAGAGCCCAAGATGGCCTCCAAGATGACCCGAAGTTATTAATCCAAGATGGCTCAAGATGGCTTCCAAGATGCCCCAGACCGCTCCAAGACGATTCCATGTGAGCTTGGGGCCTCCCTTGGACGCGCCCAAGACGCCCAAATCCCCGACGTAGGCCTTTGTCGACTTTTCGCGTCAAGTATCAGTTCCAACTCCGTCAGACGGAGTTGGACAAGGGTCTCACGGAGTCCCTCCTGGACGCTTCTCTAGGGCCCTCAGAAAGCTCCAGCAGGGCCCCGAGAGGGCCCAGGAGGGCCCCAAGACGGCCCTAAGATGGCTCCAAGAGGGCCCCAAGATGGCTCCAAGATGGTCCTAGCAAGTATCAGTTCCAACTCCGTCAGACGGAGTTGGACAAGGGTCTCACGGAGTCCCTCCTGGACGCTTCTCTAGGGCCCTCAGAAAGCTCCAGCAGGGCCCCGAGAGGGCCCAGGAGGCCCCAAGACGGCCCTAAGATGGCTCCAAGAGGGCCCCAAGATGGCTCCAAGATGGTCCTAGCAAGTATCAGTTCCACTCCGTCAGAACCGAGTTGGACAGGGTCCTCACGGATCCCTCCTGGACGCTTCTCAGGGCCTCTCAAAGCTCCAGCAGGGCCCGAGAGGGCCCAGCGAGGGCCCCAAGACTGCCCTATATATGGCCCAAGAGGGCCCCCAGAGTGCTCCAAGATGGTCCTAGCAAGTATCGTTCCCACTCAGTCAGCGGATTTGGCTTCCGATCTTCACGGAGTCCCTCCTGACGCTTCTCGGGCCCTCAGAGAGCTCCCGCAGGGCCCCAAAAGGGCCCCTAGAGGGCCGCAAGAGGCCCCAAGAGGGCCCCAAGCTGGCTCCAAGAGGGCCCCAAGATGGCTCCAAGATGGTCCTAGCAAGTATCAATTCCAACTCCGTCAGACGGAGTTGGACATCCCTCCTGGACGCTTCTCTAGGGCCCTCAGAAAGCTCCAGCAGGGCCCCGAGAGGGCCCAGGAGGGCCCCAAGACGGCCCTAAGATGGCTCCAAGAGGGCCCCAAGATGGTTCCAAGATGGTCCTAGCAAGTATCAGTTCCAACTCCGTCAGACGGAGTTGGACAAGGGTCTCACGGAGTCCCTCCTGGACGCTTCTCTAGGGCCCTCAGAAAGCTCCAGCAGGGCCCCGAAAAGGGCCCAGGAGGGCCCCAAGACGGCCCTAAGACGGCTCCAAGAGGGCCCCAAGATGGCTCCAAAATGGTCCTAGCAAGTATCAGTTCCAACTCCGTCAGACGGAGTTGGACAAGGGTCTCACGGAGTCCCTCCTGGACGCTTCTCTAGGGCCCTCAGAAAGCTCCAGCAGGGCCCCGAGAGGGCCCAGGAGGGCCCCAAGACAGGCCTGAGATGGCTCCAAGAGGGCCCCAAGATGGCTCCAAGATGGTCCTAGCAAGTATCAGTTCCAACTCCGTCAGACGGAGTTGGAAAAAACGGGTCTCAGGAGTCCCTCCTGGGCGCTTCTCTAAGGCCCTCGAAAGCTCCTGCGGGCCCCGAGAGGGCCCAGGAGGGCCTCACCAGGACGGCCTAATATGGCTCCAAGAGGGCCCCAAGATACTCAGATGGTCCTAGCAAAGAATAGATGGGCAGCAGAGTTTTCCAACTCGTCAGACGATGGATGGGGGGGGAGTTTTGGACAAAAGGGTCTCACTGAGTCCCTCCTGGACGCTCTCTAGGGCCCTCAGAAAGCTCCAGCAGGCCCCGATAGGCCCAGGAGGCCCCAGACGCCTCTAAGATGGCTCCAAGAAGGGCCCCAAGATGGCTCCAGATGGTCCTAGCACGTAATCAGTTCCAACTCCGTCAAGACCGAGTTGGCAAGGTCTCACGGAGTCCCTCCGGGACGCTTCCTAGGGCCTCAGAAAGCTCCAGCATCATGGCCCGAAGAGGGTCCCAGAGGGCCCCAAGACGGCCCTAAGATGGCTCCAAGAGGGCCTCAAGATGGCTCCACGATGGTCCTAGTAGGTATCAGTTGCCCGCACGAGGGCTCCCAGATTCCAGAACCCTCCCCAGATCCCAGAACCCTCCCAGAACCCTCTCCCTCCAAGAAAACTTCATGGAGCCTCGAAAGGCTCCCAAGAGATCTCCTAGAAATCTCTTCTCTCCTAGAAATATCTTCTCTTCTCTCCTCATTATCATCATACGTCTCTCATCCCTCCTCAGGAGAACAATCATTGTCCTCCTCCTCACAATCATCCTCATCAGCCTCCTCATCATCAGCATGATCCCTCTCTTGGACTTGGACTTGGACTACGGCTCAAAGTCTACCGAGATTAGCCGGCGATGAGACTGAACATGCACACCTAATCTACCAACGAAATTTCGTACAAACGTCGAGCATTCTGCCAACGCGGCGGCCGCATGATCCCTCTCCCTGCCATCATCATCCCTCCCCCCAGCCCCGAAAGGACATACACGCTAAGTACCACCACGAAGGATACACGCTAAGTGCGGAGCACTTAGCGTGTATGGGCGTCTCCCCAAAGACACGCTATATATCGGACCTTGACCGTATCTCCCGATCTCACTGCCGACCCGCCGATTTCACCGCAGATCCATCGACACAAGGGGGGAAGGTCACAGGTGGAAGCGCAGGAGGAGCTAGAGCGGAGAAGGGTCAAAAAGGAAAAGGAAGAGGGGGGGAGGGAAGGAGGCAAGGTAAAAATGGGGATGATGAGGAGGAGGAGCGGGAGGAGGAGGAGGAGGAGGAGGAGGAGGAGGAGGAGGAGGAGGAAGACGAATGGGATTGAGGTGAGGAAGGCGGGGGGAAGGTGTACCGGGTAGGAGAAGGAACAGCAGCAGCAGCAGCAGCAGCAGCAGCAGCAGCACGGGGGGACGACGGAGGAAAGGAGGGGCAGCAAAGAGGAGGAGGGGGGGCGAGGAGGGGGGAGGGAATGCCAACGCAGTAACATGGGAAGAGGGAGAGACAGAGGAGGGGGAGACCGAGGAGGAGCTGGAGAAAGAGGAGGCGGTCCGTCCCCCCTTCGGCGCCCCGCCCGAGGCGGCGTAGACAAGGCAGCGCAGGCTGGCGTCCTCGGCGGCGGGGGCGGGACGGGGCCCAGAGGATCTCGGCTTCCACCTGGGAACATGGAGAGGGACCGGGGGTGAAAAGGACAAGAGTAAACCCAATCAACTGGAAGACGCCCTCCGGTCTCAAGTCGCATCTCCACTTGTCCCTACAAGCGTGCTGCTCCAGTATACAAAACAACCCCATGACGACAAACGTCTCCATTGGCCTGCCATTCAGGCGAGTCCCACTTTGAACAGGGAGCCTGGCATGCTTCTGGTGAAATGGATGGATGGTGGCCATAAGGCCATAAGCTTTGAACGTCGTAAGCTTTGAACCCAAGCCCGCCGACCCACCCGTGCGACTGCTGCACAAGTTTACACGTCTGGCCACTAAAACCAAGGACACATCAAGCGATTGCCCCGATGTGACACACAACTTTCACCATCCGTCAGCTGTTAAATGGCTCAAGCTTATGCAGCTGTCAGAAGTATCAAGCTTCTGCTTTGTTCACGATGAGGGCTGTCAGGCGCCCCCCCCATCTTTGTTAACAGATCGTGCATCCTTGCACCCGCGGCCATCATTAGGCGGACGTGCGCAGACCTAGCACGAGAGAGCCCTAGGTTGAAAAAGAGCTGCCCATCTTACACGTAACGGACGTGGACGCGCTGCAGAGGCCCCGGAGCGACAGACGCCCTGTACACACCAGGGGCGGCACACGAGGAGGAGGTTGGCGGGCAAGGGAGAGGCGCACAAACGTATGAACCACTCCCGGACCCAGGACGGGCCTCGCCATGGGCAACGGATGCGTACCCAGACATCCGCCGATGTGTTCTTGCTCCACTGCGCAGCCCCAGAGCTCCCGACCACTTCCCAAGGGGTGGGCTGTCGCTCCGGATCCGGTATTGATGGCCCCAGGGCCCGAAACAGGGCCCCCGAAACCGAAGTCAATGCAAACCGAACGGATTGAAACAATCATGTCGTCGGAGGTATTGGTATAGAACCGTCCCTCCGAGAGTTCATCCTAATGGTGAAATCAGACACCACGCAAAAACACCACGCAAATACACCACGCAAAAACACCACGCAAAAACACCACGTAAACGCTGGAGGGTGAATTAGACATCACGCAAATACACCACGCAAAAACACCACGCAAAAACACCACGTAGCGGTTTTGCGTGGTGTTTTTGCGTGGTGTTTTTGCGTGGTGTTTTTGCGTGGTGTTTTTTGGCACCGCTGTGGCGGCGCCGGAGCGCCGTGGGACAGGTCGCGGTTCACGTGGTGTGTTTTTGCGTGGTGTTTTTGCGTGGTGTATTTGCGTGGTGCTTTTGTGCGCCGCTGGGGCGGCGCGGGGACGCAGTGGGGCAGGTCGCGGTTCACGCGGCGTGTTTTTCTGCGTGGTGTTTTTGCGTGGTGTTTTTGCGTGGTGTTTTTGCGTGGTGTATTTGCGTGGTGTTTTTGCGCACCGCTGTGGCGGCGCCGGAGCGCCGTGGGACAGGTGGCGGTTCACGTGGTGCTTTTTGTTTTGCTATGCGTGGTGTTTTTGCGTGGTGTTTTTGCGCGGTGTATTTGCGTGGTGTTTTTGTGCGCCGGTGGGGCGGCGCGGGGACGCAGTGGGGAAGGTCGCGGTTAGTCGCGGTTCACTTGGTGCTTTGCGTGGTGTTTAGTGCGGTGGTGTGTGGATGCACCGGCTGTGCGGCGCCCGGAGCGCCTGGGACGGTCGGCGGTTCCACGTGGTGTTTTTTTGCGTGGTGTTTTTGCGTGGTGTATTTGCGTGGTAGCATGTGTGCTCGCTGGGCGGCGCGTGGGGACGCAGTGGGGCGGTCGCGGTTGCGCGCGTGTTTTTCTGCGTGTGTTTTTGCGTGGTGTTTTTGCGTGGTGTTTTGCGTGGTGTATTTTGCGTGGTTTTTTTGCGCACCGCTGTTTCGGCTGGCCCGCCGGAGCGCCGTGGACAGGTCGAGTTCACGTGGTGCTTTTTGTTTTGCTATGCGTGGTGTTTTTGCGTGGTGTTTTTGCGCGGTGTATTTGCGTGGTGTTTTTGTGCGCCGCTGGGGCGGCGCGGGGACGCAGTGGGGAAGGTCGCGGTTCACGTGGTGCTTTTGCGTGGTGTTTTTGCGTGGTGTTTTTTTGCACCGCTGTGGCGGCGCCGGAGCGCCGTGGCACAGGTCGCGGTTCACGTAGTGTGTTTTTGCGTGGTGTTTTTGCGTGGTGTATTTGCGTAGTGTATTTGTGCGCCGCTGGGGCGGCGCGGGGACGCAGTGGGGCAGGTCGCGGTTCACGCGGCCTGTTTTTCTGCGTGGTGTTTTTGCGTGGTGTTTTCGCGTGGTGTATTTGCGTGGTGTTTTTGCGCACCGCTGTGGCGGCGCCGGAGCGCCGTGGGACAGGTCGCGGTTCACGTGGTGCTTTTCGTTTCGCTATGCGTGGTGTTTTTGCGTGGTGTTTTTGCGTGGTGTATTTGCGTGGTGTTTTTGCGCGCCGCTGGGGCGGCGCGGGGGCGCCGTGGGGAAGGTCGCGGTTCACGTGGTGCTTTTGCGTGGTGTTTTTGCGTGGTGTTTTTTGCACCGCTGTGGCGGCGCCGGAGCGCCGTGGGACAGGTCGCGGTTCACGTGGTGTTTTCGCGTGGTGTTTTTGCGTGGTGTATTTGCGCGGTGCATTTGCGCGCCGCTGTGGCGGCGCGGGGACGCAGTGGGGCAGGTCGCGGTTCACGTGGTGTTTTTTTTCTGCCACGCGTGGAGCGGCGCCAGGGCGCCCAGGGGCGCAGCTGGAGCGCCGCTGCAGTGCCGCTGCAACGCCCCTGGAGCGCAGTGGGGCAGGTCGCGGTTTACGTGGTGTTTTATACGTCGTAAACCGCGACCCGCCCCACGGCGCTCCCGCGCCGCGCCAGCGGCGCACGCACACGCAAATACACCACGCAAATACACCACGCAAAAACACCACGCAAATACACCACGCAAAAACACCACGGCTATTTCACCGTTAAGAAATTCTATTTCACCATTAAGAAATTCTATTTCACCATTAAGAAATTCTATTTCACCATTAAGAAATTCTATTTCACCATTAAGAAATTCTATTTCACCATTAAGAAATTCTATTTCACCATTAGGAAATTCTATTTCACCATTAAGATTTCTATTTCACCATTAAAACTCTTATTTCACCATTAGGAGAAACCGTTCCTCCGCCACTTCTCATGCCCCTCTCCGGACGCGGGCGGCGTCCGTGCTGCAGCTCGCCACGAGCGCCTTGCGCCCAAGCAGCGTCTTTATGGCCTCCCCGCGCGAGCGCCGGCCGGCCGCGGGCCGGGAGCGCCGGGTTCTGGCGAGGCACATCGCCGGGGGAGAAGAGGATGAGGAGAAGAGGAGGGGAGGAATGGGAGGAGAAGAGAGCAGATAATGAAGGGGGATGATGATGATGCTGATGATGATGCTGATGATGATGATGATGATGATGATGATGATGATGATGATGATACTGCTGATGATGAAGACGATGATGATGATGATGATGATGATGACGAGGAGGAGGTGATGATGTCGATGACGATGACGATGACGATGACCATGATGATGCTGCTGATGATGTTGAGGATGAGGATGATGAGGGTCATGATGCTGATGATGAGGATGATGATGATGATGACGATGATGATGATACTATGCTGAAGGTGATGATTGTAGTAATACTGATGGTGATGGAGATGGTGATAATTATGATGAGGAGGCGGCAGCGGAGGCGGAGGAGGAGAACGAGGACGGAAAGGGGGAGATCAAGGAAGGAGGACGGGGAAGACGGGGAGGTGATGGAAGAGGACGCAAAGTAGTTATCCACGGCGGCTCCCACTGCTCGTGCTCCTGCCCGTCCCCATCACCATTGTCCTTCTGCTGCTGCCCTCCCTCGCTCTCGTCCCCGTCGTCCTCATCCAGCTCGAGCTCCTCCATCCACCCATCCCCATTTTTACCGCTTTCGTCGTTGTGGTCCTCCGACGAAGACGTCGGTGCAGGGTCGACAATGCCGACGACGACGACGACGCCGAAGAAAACGACGATGTCGACGATGTCACCGACTGCGGCGGTGACGACGCCGACACCTGCGGCGGCGGTGGCGACGTCAACGGCGGCGGAAACGGCGGCGCCCGGCGGCAGCGCGAGGGGCCAGCGCCGCGAAGTAGGCGGGCTTCGGACGCAACGGCGCAGCGGTGCGCAGCACGACCTCGCGCGAGCGGCGGAACGGCCGGCGGGCGCACGCCCGTGGGCTTCGCCGTTTTCTTAGACGGCACCGTCGCCGTCGACGCAGCTGCCGCCGTCACGGTCAGCGTCGTCGTCGTCGTCGTCGCCGTTGGCGGCTGCGTCGTCGGCGCCGTGGTCGTCGACGGGGACGCCGTCGTTGAAGTCGTCAGCCATCGTTGTCGCCGTCGTCGACGGCGTCGTCGTCGGAGCCGCTGTCGTGTCGTCGGCGAGGCCGGAGTCGCAGTCGTCACCGCCGTGGAGTCTGACATTTCAGATCAGTGCTGCCCGCGCGTCTCGCACACGCTGGGCCTGGAATTTCACAAAATATGATCTGGGCAAGGGCAACCTGCTGTCCATCTTCTGCTGCACGACTTCACGCACGCATCGTTCCAAACACTGTCCTGCCGATCTGGCGTGCGAGTTTCTGACAGCGTGGGCTTGAGCTCGCTCAAGCTTCGCTCTGCCCGGGGGGGGACCTCATCCGACCTCATCCGACGCATGCAGTGCTCGGCACCCTCCCCCTCGACGCGGACCCCACCCCCAGGGCTGGCCCCCCCCCCCGCAGCCCCCCCCCCACCGGTGCCCGCACCTGTGGCTCGCACCCGATGCCCTCCCCCATCGATGCCGGCACCCACCCCCCCCCCGGTGCGGCACCCCTGCCCGGTGCCAGCCTCCCGCCCTGCTGGCACCGGTCGCACCCCCCCCCCGTCCAGGCATCCCCCCCCGATGCCCGCACCTGTGCGATCGGCACCTCCCCCCCGGTGCCGGAATGTCGGCGCGGGGGGGTGGGGCCGGCATTGGGGGCGGGGGGGGAGCGGGTGCCGGCACCCGGGAGAGGGGGGGGGGGGCCGGAACCATGAGAGGGGGACGCCCACCCCCCGTGCGGCGCTCACTCCTTGGAATCCACGGGTGGCCGGCCCCCCTTTCCTGGTGCCAGCACCTCCTCCTCCTCCTCCCACTCCTCCTCCTCCAATTCCTTTTCCTCTTCCTCCTCCTCCGCCTCCTCCTCCTCCTCCTCCTCCTCCTCGTCCTCTGCCTCCTCCTCCTCGTCCTCCTCCTCTTCCTCCTCCTCTTCCTCCTCCTCCTCCTCCTCCTCTTTCCAAGCCCACATCACCATCACCACCACCATCACCATCACCCGCACAATCACCATCACCATCACCATCACCATCACCATCACCATCACCATCACCATCACCATCACCATCACCATCACCATCACCATCACCATCACCGTCACTATCACCATCACCATCACCATCATCATCATCATCATCATCATCATCATCATCATCATCATCATCATCATCATCACCGTCACTATCACCATCACCACCACAACCGTCATCATCATCAGCATCATCAACATCATCATCAGCATCGTCATCATCAAAATAATCATTATCATCATCATCACCATCATCAGCATCATCATCAGAGATGATCGTCGGTAGTCGGTCGTCGGTCGTCGTCGTCATAATCGTCGTCGTCGTCAATCGTCGTCGTTTACCCGTTCGTCAGTCGTCGTAGTAATTATCCCGCTCGTCGACGGTTGGTCGTCCGTGGTCGTCGTCATCGTCCATTCCCACACGCATCAGGAGCGCCCCGGATCGGCGGCACTGGCCGGAGGCCACTACAATATGATGCCGGGCTGAATGCTCACTTCCCGCATCTCGCCGGGCACGGGCAACCTGCTGTCCAGCTTCCGCTGCACGACTTCACGCACGCATCGTTCCAAACACTGTCCTGCTTTGACGACGTCGCACACTCCACTGAGCAACAAACATACACGATTCCGATATCGGGCTTGATAGCCCATGGTCGTCGCAACTCCAGGCGCGGGGAGCGGCGCAGAGCCTGCCGCCCCTGCACCGTCTGGGGAGGTCTTCGAGGCTGAACCGGTCGTGGGCCGTCGTGGGGCCGTATGGATGCCGTCTTGAAACCGATGGGGGGGCCATCTCGGGCCTCGGGGTATCTTGGATGCGTCTGGGGCTCTCTGGGAAGCCTCCGAAGCTGTTTCTGGAACAGCCTGGAGCAGAAGACTAGGAAATACTGACAATGCACGGAAACAGAGAGCGAGTCTGGCGATGTTTGCTTTATGGAGTCCCTGCAGGAGCCAACTGGGAGCCTCTTGGGGCCACCTTGGCGCCATCTTGGAGCGTCGTGGCCCGCCTCGGGCTTGTCCAGGAGTCCCGATTAGCCTGGACTCCTGGACACGTGACGGCCGTCAAGGAATATGTGGGGGGCCGTCCGGGCCAGCGAGGCCTCTGATATCATACCAGGGCCCTAGTAATTCGGGGGTGCTCTCGCACGCGGTGTCTCCATATTGTAAAATGGATGACGCCGCCATGATGACGCCGGGCTCCAAGTTAGCGTGCCGCATCTCGCCGAGCAGTGCCACGACCCGCTGCCACTGCTCGCCCTTCTCGCACGCGTTTACCCCAGTGCTTCACCTGGTAACGTTGGGCTCCACTTGCACCTCCCACGCATCATCGAGCAATGACAAAGACCTTTGCCACTCCCTACCTTCACCGAATGCACCGAGAGTCGCTATGTAACATCCTGGACTGACTGCGCAACGTAGCCGGTGTGATTCGTAGAAGAGTTACACCGCTGCGCTGCATTGTATTGTCCTCGTCTTGATCGCCGTTTCGAGTGGATACATACCTTGTCGCGATCGTGGTTGGATGTTTTAGCTCTCATGCCTCTCATCCCTGGATGGTTTTGCACCTCAAAACGTCGAACCAGGGCTTAAGTCAAAACGCTTTGAGCCAGTACAGAAGAGGAGGCACGGAAGTAAGGAAGGAAGCGTCAGGACACTAGGCCCGACGGGTCGGTGACGGCGAGCACGGAGCCGCCAGACCGACATTTAGGCCCAGACGACGGGCGGCGACGAGGCGGCGACGGGGCGGCGACGGCGAACACAGAGCCGCTTGACCGACAATCAGGGCCAGTTCTTCAGAAAAGGATTAAGAAGCCCTAACTGCAACCACTGTTTGGGGAATGCTTGCACACTCAATGATTTCGCCAGACCTTCGACACGCAGTGGAGTGCCCCGAGGTTCATGCAGGTGTGAGTGTTGAAGGAATTGTAGGGTTCTTTATTGCCCGGAGCACACATGTGCGATAATTCCTGGGCGCTCCCAGGCGGTTCCAGCGTGTGCCAAAAGGGCCTCTGGGAAGCCAAACCCACTCAGACCGACTCCAACATCCCCCAAGCGGCTTCCAAGAAATGCACAAACTTTTCTACGCGGGGATCCCCAGGAGTGCATACCACTTGCCCTCGCGGCCCGAATGCGACACCCGCTGCAACACGGGGCCCATATGGATGCGAAAAGAGATGCTGACCCTTCCCCCTAACAGCAACTTTACCTGAGAGGTGTCAACGAATTGGGCGCGAACGCGCCCGTGATGACACACTCGTCGGCTCGCCCCGTGGGCGCCCAAGTGCCACGCCTGCCACATCGCGACAGCCATGGGGCTTTGAACAAACGTGCGTAGACTCCCCAAAAACGGTGATTCCATTTGAGAAGTCTCAGCAATTTGGGCACGGACGGGCCAGTGGTAATTCTGAGGTCGGACCCACCGTGCCATGCCTGGTATATCGTGATGTGCATGCTGCTCCCAAAAAACACACACACACACACACCAACCCCCCCCTTGAAGCAATCCTACCTGCCTCCCTGCCGCGCGAAGCACGCCAGTGGCGGCGCCGGAGGCGCCAGGTGGACCCAATGCTTAGCGCAAATCCAAAAGATCCACGCGGACACTCGAAGTGGCATGTATCTGCCATTGCTTGTCCCTCTTTCGACCATCGCGAGGGGGGGGCGAGGAAGGTTCCGACGATAACGACGACGGCGGCGCAGCACGCGGCGGTGATGACGACGAGGATGCCGGTCCGTGCGCGTCGGACGCCGGCGCGATCGGACGGGTTGGCGGGGCGGGCGGGGTGCCCCGTAGTTGTCCGAGGGCAGCTGGCCGTCCTCGCCTGGGAGGGCGCTCGAAGTGGGCAGCGGCCTTCTCGTCGCTCCTGGTTTTCTCGCTTCTCTTCGCCTCTCTTGGATGTGCTTCCTGGTTCCGCCTCCACCTCCCCGTCCTCGCGGACTCCTCCCACCTTCCTATGTCCTACACAATCTACATGTACTAGGGATGAGTTTCTTGCTATCCCCCCGACCGCACCGAGCACGCACGCACGAACTCACAGTTCCTCCCACTCCTCTTCCTCCTCCACTCTCTCACAAAACAAAGATAATGGTGATGATGAGGATGATGATTATGATGATGCTGATGATGATGATCATGCCGATGACGATGACGATGATGACGATGACGATGACGATGGCGATTGCGATGCCGATAGTGATGATGACTTCCCCTGCGCAATACCTGCACAACGAATCAGCTAAACAGCCTGTTTGCCTAACACTCCCAGGCGCGAATGGAAGACCGACGGACACGATGAAGAAATCCCGCATCCGAGAAACCAGCAGGCAGAACTCGGGGAGGCATGGAGGCGATCGATCGATCGCAGCCGAGCCTATGCAGCTTAGCCCGCCACCCGAAAGAGAGGCGGGCGGCCAGCGACAGCGCGGGCGGAGACGCAACTTGCACTTGCCACGACCTGGCACGTGGGCGCGGGCAGGCGAACATAAAAAAGCCAGTCAGAGCAACCACACCCTACACGCATCATGTGTGCCTCGCAGAGGTGAGGACCGTCGCAACGACTGGGGGATTCGCAGTACGGAATCGAACGAGCAAACAGGCGCGAGAGAGGCGCAAGAGGCAGGGCGGCAAGGCGGACCTGGACTCCATCACAAACAGAAGGAGGGCGGAGACGACAGGCGACAGCAGCAGCGGCAAGCGGCCGAAGCAGCAGCCGCGGCGGCGGCGGCACGGCAGGGGATCGGCAGCAAGAAAGGGGGAGAGGCGAGGGCCACGGCTAGTACAAGCCCCGACCACAGCACGGGCAGACAATAATTCGGGAGCTCTGAATTCCCGGCCGTTTGCAAGGCCATTGTGATCATGGGGCGACGCTGCGTGAGCAGACAGATGCGGCCTTCAAAAATATCAATCCAGGAGAGGCCCCCCCAGGAGCAGTGGCGACTCCCAGTTGCGAGCGCGAGTGCACGAAGAATATGGCAGAGCGCGCAAAGCAAGATCCCTGACTTTATCGGGGGCCTGTCCGTCAACGCAGACAGGCGTCGGGAACGGGCCAGCGAGGCCAGGCGGGCAGCGGGGGGTCCCAGGAGGAGAGGAGAACCGAAACTCTAGGGCAGTGAAAATAGTGGCGCTGGTCGCCAATGGCTTCCAGACAGCCATGGAGACAGGACTTCGGGCGAGCGTGGGGCCTGGCAGAGGTTCAGAGTCCCCGACAGAGGGCTTGAAGCACAGCAACCATTCAAAACATAGAGACCGACTTGCAGACTGAACGACGCATCCTAGCTAGCACGGGCAACCAAACATTAGCAGGGAGTGGGAGGGGCGTCCATCTCAGAACTCGTCGCTCGATATTGGTCTGAATCTGCGCGGAGCCTACGTCGCTTCCAAGTGCAGCCGCGAGCTTAACTTGGGACACCAAAAACGGGGCCATCGGGTGGATCAGACGAGCCCTGGGCAGACGCTGCGAGTAGATATCCGGCAAGTAGGACAGGGAGGATTCAGCATTCCATTAACTATGCAGACTGAGGGGGAGAAGGTCATTCGAATCAATCAGACTGGTCCCGTTCTCCTGGAAGCGCCTCCAAGCTTCGATTCCTGAACGGTTCTGTGCGCCGCAGCCCTAGCCATCATTGAACAGTATCTAACAACCGTCAGCGTCTGCATCACGCTTCCTGTGAAGCTGAATCCGGGCCCTGCGTGCAAAATCTGACAGCTCTGTCCTCGAGTTGCCCAGACGAGCGGTTGGACGATGAAACTGATGCACATGGCCTGGCACTTAGATCGTTCGTACGGTGTGCGCCGCCATGGGTTCGGCTGAGCGAGCTAGTCTAAGATTGCACGCTCGCCAGAAGAACTTGTCGACCCGGGTGGGGAACGCGTTCAAATGCGCTTCGGAGCCCGCGCAAACTCCAAGATGCTGGCGCCACTTAATCGCCGCAAAAGAATTTGCAACCATTATCAAACTTAGTTCAGTGGGATGTAAGTCGGCGCGCATGAGTCGGACAGCAGGACGCGACAATACACTTCCCAAGATGCAGTTCAAGCCCCGCAGCCGCTGGCAACTTACAGAGCTCGGTAAACAGCGCAGCCGCACCGGGATCGCAACTGGCCAACCAGAACCTTAGGACATCAGCATACCCTGAGAGTCTGAACCTTCTAGGTCTAGAAGAACGTAAACATCCACAGGCGGGGCTCCGAGACAGCGCAAACAGTAACATTGATGCAGGGCATCCCTCGCAAACGCCCTTCCCAATTGAAATCGAGTCCAACGCCTGTCCTCCGAAGTGGACCGTTGAGACGCTATCGTCGTAGAGGGTAAAAAACTTTGCGATCCACTGCGGAATGTCCATCTTGCCCAAGACGACGGGAAGCCAGGCAACTATCAGCCTCGGGAGCGTTGCTTTGAAATATGTGAAGAACTGAGCTGACACGTCGCGCCCTCCGATCGCCGCCTGCCATGGCCTGGTGACCTTCGCATCCGATGATGTCGTCCAATATCGATCGCCCCGAGACGCCGCCAGCCTAGCAACAGCAGCAGACACCAGCACACAGCCAGTGCAACCCATAGAGAATGGACGAGCGCAGGGTGGTGCAGGATGATTTGCTAGAGGGCGTTGCAGATGAGTCAATGGGACGACTAGCCAGAAACACCCTTCGCATCTTATAGAAGTCAGGAGGGTAAGGGTCTTCGGGGTGAGCAACGCAGTACCGGTGATGCCTATGCAAGGCCTTCTGAGCTGGTGGGGTCTTCCAGCAAACGCGCGGAAGCCCATCGACGCCCGGCGTCGAGTCACCCGTCGACTGAACCAGCCAAGCAAGCTCCTCACGATCCAGGACCCACTCAAACGCAGAAAAAAAAACCTACAAAAACGAAGCTTTCTGAATGAAAGCATTCCAGGGTGGACCAAAGCGTGGGATCAGGCTCGACCACTGAAAACACAGAAACCCAGTGTCGAGCGAGCTCCTGCCCCGTGTGCTGTGGCGACGCGCGCGGTGCACCCGTGCACTCGTGCAGAGTGTAGCCATGCCGAAGCGTCCTGTTCAGCGTGCGCTAGCGCTCGCGATTGCGCGTCTCTGCGCTTCATGCTCGGGCAAGTCAGTCGCTCTCCCAAGAGCCTCTTCCTCCTCGTCCAAATAAAGAACTGCTTAGGAGAGCTATGTGAGAAAACGAAACAGCATCTTCCGAGATGGCACCAGCGCCGACATCAAATAAGGCGGCGAGAGCAGGCTGAGCACGGAGAGCATGGATCACAATATCGAGAGAGGGTGGACCAGCACGGAACGCTCCCATGGCCGAGACACTCCAAGGCAGATGCTCGCGAGTAGATGCGGCCTATCGGCAGCGCATAACCTTCCGAAGCTCTGCGGGGACATCGCGCATTGCCGCTCTGGTGCGCTCCAGCCGGGCAAAAGAGGGCGACGGTACTTCTCTTTCAGTGAGCAGCCTGGCTAGGATGTCGCGGTACTCAGCAGCGCGCGGGACCTGGGCGGGAATGGGGGGGAGGCCAGGACACGGGCGAGATTCGGGCGAGATCGCGGCAACCGCTGGGACGTGATCCGACGGGCCTTTGAGCCCATCGAAGATCCAGCCATCGCATTGTCATGGAAGGCTGAGGGGCGCTGCTTGGCATATAATCTATGTTTTCAGCCTGGCCGTACCGACGCAACGCAGTACAATCCCCGAAGAGAGAGCTCAATTCCCTGGCGCGCGCCGTGCCCCTTCGAGTGAACGTGCCCTGCTGCGCCTGCAAGCGACCTTCATCCCCAAGCACAGACTTGAAGTTTCCCGGCAAGACATTCGCGACCGACGTCGAGGGGAGGCGAGACAACTTCAGACGGACGGCCCGATGGCTGCCGACAGCGCGCGACGTCCGCGTCGACATTGGGCAAATTAGCGGCCGGCAGCCCCAAGCGCCCGCGGGAACCCAACCCCAGGACATACGAGATTTTGCCAGGACAAATCATACGATGGTGAAAGTCGGCGAAACAGCGAGCAACCCGACGATGCATGCAAATCAGAAGCCCATGTCCAAATACATTCTGCAGATGAGGGTCGGAAAAGAACCGATATTCAGGGAATTCTTTCTGGGGGCTGATGAGGTCCCCGACGTGGCCATGTGATTAACCGGACGCATGCTATCTGACAGCGCCGAACCGAGCCAGAGAAGAACTTCCATGCATGGCATGCCCTGTACTTCGCGCTGGTAACGCACCTGAATGGTGGCAAGAAAGAAAGGGACGAGTAGCGGCTGATCTCCTTCAACCGACCATGTGCCTCACTGGGTTCACCTTCGCGGAGTGACTGCACTCTCTTTCCCTAGCTCTTCAGCCAGGGAGGTCTTGCATGGACGAAAAAAAGAAACAAAACAAAAAACGGAACTCACTGTTGTAAACCTGGTCGACAATCGCCCGCGGCTGCTGTTGCTTCATCCCGATGGGCTAGGAAGCGGCGAGCGACAGAGATAACCTTCGGGCTCTCGGAATCGATCCCTGGCTTCGCCACGTGCAAAGGCTTAAGGGTCGCCTTTGCGGTGCCGTGCAAAAACATTATGGGGGCTCGAACGAATGGTCCAAGGACTATCCATCCCCATGAGGGGATGAAGAGCATTGCGAAAAGGGCCGATCAAAGAGTACTGCTTGTTGGTTTCGATACCCCGAAGAGGTTTCAGACGGCGCGTAACTGGACCACGCGGGGTAACGAATCTGAAACCGTCGGGCGACTTCTTCCGCTGAGGGCCACCTGCGACCCTTCTTTGGATTGGAACGCCATGCTCAAATTCTTGGCAAAACGCTGGGGGAGATTCTCTATCGTGTGTTGGACCGCCACCGAAGCGCACGAGGATAAGATTGCTGCCCCTCCTCACCGAGGAAGGTGGGCGGGTGAGGCTGAGGTGCCGTGCGTGGCCTAGCGGGGATGGGCAGAGTCGGGCTAGACGATGCTAAGCCGCATCTCGGAACTCTCCACCGGACCGGTCTTTCATCTCAAGCGGTTCCTGACGGCCCGGGGGACCAGAAGCGGCCCCATGGGCCCCGAAAACCGACGAGGGCAGGAACTCTGTCCCGACTTGCGTGTTCTCGAGGCGCCAGAACTCATGGAGGCCAGGGCTGTTGAGGGCTTAGCGAAGTCTGCTGCCTGACGGCAGGAGCTTCTATGATGTGCTCTGGACTCGTATGGGCATCTCTTGAATAACCTCAGCTTGTCTAAAACTACTTAGACCTGTGCAACTTGTCCTCGATTTCGCAGATCGACTGGAGAGGAGGCGTCAGGCCCTCAAGGGACAGGGGCCCGATCCGAGGGCGTTCGGCTCCCATGGGTCGCCGCTGTCCTTCCACTCGCTCCAGAGGCTGACCTTTCGCGGGGGGGGCGCCAGCTGCGCACACGCTGCACTGGTCACAACACGCGACAGGCTCGTGTCGTGACGACCTCGGCGCTGGTTCCCGACACAGCGCAGATCGTTCAACCTTGCAGCGATCGCGGCTTCCCGATGGCGCCGATCATTTGACATCGGCCGATTCTGGGTCACTGACGGCGTTCAACCTGGAACGCCCGCGCCAGGCTCGCCGCCGCGTCAACACAACACGAGTCCCTGCTGGAAGAGGACACGCCAACGTGAAATACACGAACAACCGCGGCGGCGCCCGGATGGGCGATAGCGTGGACAGACACCGAGGTCCTACGGGCCTCTCATCTCCAGGGCCCCAGGCGCACCCACAGAGGCGAAACACGCCGACCTGGGCATCCCCGATCAGTGGAGACTGTCCGATGTTTCGGCCAGCCCCCCGTGCACACCGAAGTCTCCCAACTTCCGCTCCGTGCTGCGCGACGGGCGACGCACGCTGGTCCTCGCGGCACACGCTGGCACCAGGATCGGTGTAGTAGGCAGAGGCGGGTAGCTGACCTCCCAAATCGAACCCCCAAAAACATCCGATCACTTCTGGAGACCTCTGACAACCTCTTACATGTCTGAACCTCCGAACTCGTCTGGATGCCTGCAGACTGCCTCGTGCGAACCCACATCCCCCACAACCTACGGAAGCACACAGAAGTCTGCAAACACTTCGCGAGCACTTCCGACCCCCCACGGGCAACATCTAAAAACCTCAAGATACGGTTGGAAGCGTTTGGCCACCTTCAGAAAACCTCTGACAACCTCTGACAACCTCCGACGGCATTCGCAAGCCTCCGACAACATCCGAAAACCAAGGCCCATACTTCACGCATCGTGCCCGGCGATGCGCAGTGATCTGCGCGCCCTAGCGCCACCTCGCCGCCACCGTGGGGAAGGCCAACCGCTGTGGCCCAGACCGCGACGCGCGAAGCGCGATGATCTTCGCGCCCCCGAGGGTGACCTGGATTGTCCTGCGCCCAGCGACCCCCACCCGATAACTCGAGGCGGGATCCCCAGGGAGCACCGGCACCCTTGGGGCCTGGCGTCCGCCGCGTGCGGTCGCCAGTCGTCGAAGGCACGAGGCGAACTCCCCAGCGAACACTGGCACACATTGGGTGTGCGAAGCGGGTCGGGAGCTCTTTTCTCTAAGTGTAAAAACCTCAACCTGTCAGGCGAGAACAGACCAGCCCCTAATCTGAAGAGACCAGACGATATCGACACCGCTACTCCTCAGACCTCTCCCGAGGTGCATTCTGACCGGCATTTCGGGGCGAATCTAGCCGTGGCGACGAGGGCCTCCCAAGATGCCCCACAAGGCGAAATCGAGGGAAGGGTGGTGGTAGCAGTATCATTTCCTCCTCTAAGAGTTGGCATCCTCCCTTGACCGACACGTTGCACGCGTCGTGCACCAGCCACTGCCGCGCCAGCCGAGAGGCCTGCTCCTCAAGCGGCACCATCCCTCCCGGGTCCGCGGCCACCACAGAGCCGGCGGGGCCTGGCGAGGCGGCGCGGGCAGAATTGCGATTGTGTTTGCAGCGCGGCCACCACCGGGTAGCGCCGTCGAAATTCCCAGCATCCCTGAGCAACACTTGAGCGAAAGACAGAAACCTGGGAGGCGAGCCAAAGCCTGGGCGGCCCCAAACGAAGGCGAAGAGAGAGAGATAGAGAGAGAGAGCGAGAGAGAGAAAGAGAAAGAGAAAAGGAGAGAGCGGATTGATCCGAGGGGGAGCGGGATTTGTTTGCTCGAGGGTCGAAGTGGTCGGGTGTCTTCGGGTCTCTATTCGCCTCTTGCAACGTTCTTGTGACCAGGGGTGGATTCCTTCTCGAGGCTCCGGCCGGGATGCACAACGGGCGCTCGAACTTGCTCCGCCGTTCTCGGCGTCCAAGAACGGTTTCTGGTCCGAGGGGCCGTCGAACAAACCAGGTACGCTGGGTTAAAAACTGGTCCTGGGCAATGAGTCGAGAACTTCAGAGGCCGGCGACCCGACAAAATCGAGTCGTCGAACGTACTGGAGGGGATGTGCGTCAAACCGATGTCGCCGTACAGTCGGACCTAGGCCAGAATAACATCCCTCAAGGACACGGGGACCCTCCGCCGGCCACAGCAAACAGAACATCCAAGGGTACCACCCCCAGGCTGCACAATAACATCCAACAAGCACGAAGAAACTCAGGCCACCCTCCACGAAACAACCTCAAACAGATACCTCGGTCCGACTGCACCGCTTTGCATGAAAACATGTCGCGAATGACGCCCTGTGGCACAACGAGGAGGAGGAGGACGTGGAGGAGCACAACGAGGAGAGGAGGAAGACGCCAGTCGGGGAGGCGGAGAGGCAGGAGACGAGCAGAGCAGGGCCGGGCGCGCGGCGGCAGCCCAGATCAGGCGCTCCATGGGCGTGCCACGAGGCGTGCCCGCAGGGCGGCCCCACCCAGCCGCCTCCGCGCCGCCCGCGCGCGCTGCTGGGAGCAGGCGAGAGGCGCGGGCGGGCGGGCCGGCCATCCCAACCCGCCATCCACGTGGCCACCTCCCTGGTCCGCCGCGACGCTGCGGCGAGGAAGGCCC